CCATTCTACTATGCACAAGACAGTTCCCACAGCAAGGAATGATTCTGCCCACACTTCCAATAGCACTGCTGTTGAGAAATTGATTCTAGTGGAAGATACAGGCACGTAAATACATGAAAGAGAATAGGGAAGGGAATAAGAGGGAAGGTGCAAAGTGAGTTTGGTAGGCAGAGGGAAGGTGGTGGGGGGGAACACAGCTACTGACTCGCCAGCTCTACTGGGCGCTGTCCTGAGTTGGGGAAATAACTTTATTCTATATATTTATGCGAAGTGTCATCAATACACTGGCACTGGAAAGGGTAGGTATTATCCCAACCTATGAATGCACAAACTGGGTGTTTAAGTAACATACCTAAGGTCACACAGGAAGTTATGAGCTGGGACCGGGAATGGTGGCTCAGCACTTGGGGAGATGGATGCAGGAGGATCGCTTAAGCCAGTAGTGGGAAAAACAAAATGAGACCCCTGTCTCTAAAAATAAACTTGTAAGCTGGAATTGATGCTACTACTACTCTGAAATATGCTGGGTCAAAGAATTTGGATGATCAATGGACAAGTTTTGTGTCCCAGATGAATGAGGAAGTGAGAAAGTTGAAAGTGTGGAAGAAAGAAATCCATGAGGTACACTGTGGGATTTGGGCTCGCTAGGAAAGAGAAGCAGGAAGCAAAGACAGCAACTGATAAATCGGGGAAAGATGTGAAAAGCTCAAGAGTCTGGATGTCTTAGATGAGACGCATGCATTAAAAAGAGAGAGAGAGAGAGAAAGAGAGAGAGAGAAAGAATGAAAGAAAAAGAAAGAGAAAGAAAAGGAAGAGAGAAAGAAAAAGAAAGAAGGAAGGAAGGAAAAAGAAAGAAAGAGAAAGAAAGAAAAAGAGAAAGAGTTTAAAAAAAAGAGTCTGGATGTCTTGATGAGTTTCTAAATAGAAATAGCAAGGGAAGAGGAACTACAAAAGAAAGTCATGGACCTTTTGGAGTAGGGTATTACAGTTTAAGTCTTCTAGTACGGAGCAGCACAATTAGGAGTATGGACAAGTGAAAGTCTTGGAGTAGAGAGCAAAGAACACTGTTGAATAGAACATGACCACACCATACCTTGGTGTGATCTCAGGTATTGAATAGGTTGGCTGTGGATACTCAGTGAACGTGGGAGAAGGGTCTAGAGATCTATTGATGACAGAAACAGAGAAATAGAATGTAGAATATTGGCTTGTGAAGAGGAAGGGTTTGGAGTAAGAAGTGAGCAGTTATTGAGTGTGTGTGGACCTAGGAGAACTTAGAAATCTTCCTTCTCCTAGAGCAGTCTCTATTTGAAAAGCCCTCAGGGAGGTAGTTTATTCAGAAAACAGTTTTGCTTAGCTAAGATGAGGATGCGATTATAGAAGAAAAAGTGATAGAATGTGTTATAGTGGAAAGGAGGTTCCAGGAGCATGAGAGGAACCTGGAAAAGTTCAGCAGTGGTGCCATGAGGAGCATTTTCTATCCTGGGCATGTGTGTGTAGAGGTGGTGTACATTTTCAGCATCATGCATGGATAGAGATGAGTGGCAATAGTGATTTTGGTCCATAGGTTTTTGGTGTCTTAACTAGCTATAGATCTCTACCACTAAAGGAATTGCCTGTTGAACATTGTTAGGTATGTGAGGACTGGAGGCAAACTGTCTGGGTTTGAATTTTGATTCTGTCTCTTGCAACATGTCTGGGTTCAAATCCTAGCTTTGTTTATTAAGTTTTTTTAAGTTGATGATCTTGGGCAAATGTCGTAGCTTCTGTTTGCTCATGTAAATGGACACAATAGTTGCTACCTTGTGAAATAAGTTAACTCATGTAATTGCCCAGCATTTACCAAGAAGCAAAGAAGCATCAGTGTTCAGTTTTAGTCACTGGGAATTCTGTAGCTGGACTGTGAGGGGGTGAGTACGTCTCTCTCTCTCTCTCTCTCTCTCTCTCTCTCTCTCTCTCTGTGTGTGTGTGTGTGTGTATGTACGTGTGTGTGTGTGCGTGTGTGTGTGTGTGTGTGTAGCACTTAATAGCATTCATTAAGGAAAAGATACTTTTTATAACGTAGAGGCATCTTTCATCTGTTTTCCTGTCAGGAGGGAAGAAGAGAGTTTGGAGGATATGAATTCTGTTTAATACTAAGCTCTCTTCCTCAAAACCAGAGTACGTAGAATGTCTAATAATTTATAGAATTTCTAGACTTAAACAATCTGATTAAAAAATTTTTTTTTTGTTTTCTCAGGTTTAGACTGAGCTAATTTGTTGTGACATCCTTGATGTACTGGAAAAATACCTCATTCCAGCAGCTAACATTGGCAAATCCAAAGTTTTCTATTATAAAACGTAGGTTCTATGCTAGAATGGAAAATGTAAGATTAAAAGTTGGCCCTTTTAGTATCCTGACTCCTTTCTAGGTAGGTTTTCAACTTTTATTTAAGCATAATTGTTTAATGTTAGAAAGATCATTAATGTTAGAATAAAAAGATGGTCAGGCTATTATACAAATGTATTAGTTTTTGCTTTACTTATTTATATTCTTTTGCTTTCATGGAACCCATCCCATTTCCCTCCCCCAAATGACCATACATTTCACAGTGATATCTTAATGTTTTATATATGACTTTTTGTTTCATGATGAATACACTGTCGTGCCTTTCCTTGGAACCACTGGCTTGTTCAATTGTAGTCTAATAAGTGATAATTTTGTGGAGTTTTAGAGGCTCCTCAGTTAATTTCTGTGGAGTTTTTACTTACATTTAGTAATATGAAATTTCTAAGGAAAAAAATGAAACAAAGCCAACCATTCCTGAGAGTGTTTAAAATTACTGAAGCACATCTGTTACCTGTTACATATATTTTTGTCACATATTTTATATAACATAAAACAAGCAGCTTATTTTCCTTTAAAAATCATTGTTCCTCATTTAATTTTTTTTTTTTTTTCTTTAGGAAAGGGGACTACCACAGGTATCTGGCAGAATTTGCCACAGGAAATGATAGGAAGGAGGCTGAGGGGAATAGCCTAGTGGATTATAAAGTTGCTAGTGATATTGCAATGACAGAACTTCCACCAGTGCTTCCCATTCACTTAGATCTTGCTCTAGGCTGGGCGCGGTGGCTCACACCTGTAATCCCAGCACTTTGGGAGGCTGAGGCAGAAGGATCATGAGGTCAAGAGATTGAGACCATCCTGGCCAACATGGTGAAACTCCGTCTCTTAAAAAAAAAAAAAAAATCTTGCTCTCATTTTTTCCATATTCTACTACGAAATTCTTAATTCCCCTGACAGTGCCTGCAGATAAGTTGTGAGGAAGAACAAAAGCTCTTGGTGTGAAGGTGTGATAGTTAATACTGTCAACTTGATTGAACTGAAGGATGCAAAGTACTCCTCCTGGGTGTGTCTGTGAGGGTGTTGCCAAAAGAGATTAACACTGAGTCAGTGGGCTTGGAAAGGCAGACCTACCCTCAATCTGGGTGGGCACCATCTAATTAGCTGCCAGCACAGCCAGAATAAAAGCAGCAGAAGAATGTGAAAAGAGGAGACTGGCTTAGCCTCCCAACTTACATCTTTCTCCCATGCTGGATTCTTCCTACCCTCAAACGTCAGACTACAAATTCTTCAGCTTTGGAACTCGGACTGGCTTCCTTGTTCCTCAGCTTGCAGATGGCCTGTTGTAGGAACCTTGTGAGTGAGTTAATACTCCTGAATAAACTCTCTCTCTCTCTCTCTCTCTCTCTCTCTCTCTCACACACACACACACATACACACACACACATATATATGTTTATGTATTATATAATTATATATATACTATATATCCAGCGCTATATATTCAGTGACACATTGGGCCAAAGAGCGGTGTTGGGTGTGGGAGAGACCTGAGCTGGGGAAGTCACTTTCTCTTGGAGACTGCTGTTTCCTGGCAACCGCCGTTATTAGCCCTTCACCTCCGTTATTAGCCCTTCCCCTTTATATGTATATCCTATTAGTTACTGTCCCTCTAGAGAACCCTGATACAGCATTGTATTTTACTAAAGTTCATATTTCTTGTTATGCACATTTAGTTTTTCAATACATTGATTTATTAAGTTTATATCTCAGTGTGATTTGTTCATACAAAATTGAGTAAGTGAAACATTAGCATATTTTAGAGATGTGGAAAAAATGTCAGGTACAAGTTTAATTATTAGTCAATGTATTCAGTCAGACAATTCAACTAGGATTAAGCTTTTTAAAAATTAAAAATAGTAAAAATTCATGTTATTTTAAAGATTTTCAATAAATATTTTCTTTTTTTAAGAATTACCTATGCTAATTAAAGGATGTTTATTTCGCTTATTTGAGTAGCACATGGACTTTTAGCTTAGTGGCTCATTTTGTGTGTTGTCTGGTTTGATTCGAATAAGATTACTCACTAAGTATACAAAGGGGGAAATTTTACATTAAAGTTAACGTCAAATGGGCTTTCAGTTGTGTTCACAGGCGTTGACTTCTCTCCAGGACCCGTGCGGCTTAGTTGCATAAAGAGTGTATCTAATACCAAATGCAATTCCAGGCACTCTTCCAAGTGTTCCACTTGCATTATTTCATTCAATTTTACAGCAACCTTTCAGGTGGTTATTATTAGTACACTTTTTCCCCACCAGAAGAAGAAACCGAGTCATAAAGACCTTAATTTGGGACAATCACGTGTGTAGGAAAGGGGCACCAGGATTCAAACGTATAATCTGAAACAGGATTCTGCAAACGTCACTACCGTACTATTCTGTCCCATCCACTGACACTGTACCTTGATTCTCAGAACTTCACGTCCTAACTGTGGCAAAACGGCGAACGTGCTTTATCTGCAACACTGTGCAGATAATGACCTTTACTCTTACTGGCAGGGTAAGGCTATCTGGGTGGGAGTTGGGCGGGTCCTGTCTCCTAGGCAACAGCACGTGCGCACACGCGGCCAATGATGCACACCCCTCCCAGGACCCAGGAAGGTGATGTCACTTCCTTCCTCTGGTTGGTTGCCCCAGCGACACGTTGGGCCGACGAGCGGTGTTGGGTACCAGAGGGGCCGGAAGTCACTTCCTCCCGGGGACGCTGTATCCTAGCAACCTCCCTCCGCCTCTGTTATTAGTCCCTCCTCCTCGCTTGGTCCAGGACAGGTCCTGCGGGCGCTGCCAGGCCCACGCAGGCCAAGGTGAGCAGCTCCTACCCGAGGCCAGGCTCTTGGTTCTCAGGGTCGCGGGGAACTCGCCGCACGCGTCGGGGGCTGGGAACAGAAAGCAGGACCTGGAGGCCACTAGGGATCCGGACAGAGACCACGCTTGGGCGTGCACCGGCCTGGCGTTCGCTGGACGTTCAACCTACGGGGCGGTGAGGAGCGGGCGGGCACCCGGACGCCACCTGGCCTGGCCGGGAACTGAACCCGGGCGCGCACCGCTCCTGGCGGCCCTGCCAGGCCTCTGCTCCGAGCTCGGGAAACCGCGATTTTAATGCGACTCATCGCGAAAGCTTCGTATTTTTGTTTTACGTGGCTCTCTCAACACTGTGAGAGGAAAAAGTGGCTTGCAATAAATATCGCTGGCTTATTGGCGGGTCAGCATGACGATCTTTTTCTTTGAATAGCGCTATATGCAAATATATGAATACATTTTTTTTTGGTGGTGGTGCTCATGATTTTACTCCGACTATCCTTTTGATGGCCTTTTAAATAAGGCATGGCTTATTTTGAAGGCAATGTTATACTTTAGAAGAGAGGTGAAAAATAAGGTGCTCTATTTTAATTGAGAGCGTTTTGCGGTATTAACATGTAATCATTTATTTGCTGAGTTTTTAAGTAATTGCTAAACTATTTTCGGATAATTTTCAATTGATTTTTTTTTTTTTTTAACAAGCTTGTTGTGAGAATTTGATGCTTCTTTACCAGAACTCCTTTTACATTTTTAAGTGAAGATGTAGCCTAATGTTCATATGAGATGCTTTTCTTAGTTGGTTTGACTTTTAGGGAAAGAGTAGAATCAAATGTAGTAAAATAAATTCTCAAGCATGCAAAGCCTGATTTTTTTTTTTTTTATATTTCAGCCACTATCAGAAGTTCAATTATTCTAACAATTAGCTATTTTATAAAGGCAAAGAGACAAAAATACACTATGTCTGATGAAGTTTTTAGCACCACTTTAGCATATACGAAGAGTCCGAAAGTTACCAAAAGAACTACTTTCCAGGTAAAGTATTTCAAAGTATTTTTATTTTGAGTCATTTCACAGTGTAAGCACTGTATTAGATGTGTAGAAACTGGTGATCCTAGGAACACTCCTATACAAAGCAGGGGTAAATCTTTCATTTCTTTTGAGGACATGAGCACATGAGCACATGATCATGTTTGTGCTTCATCCATTATTATAAACTCCCCTGTATGGTTTTAAGATCACCAAAGCAGCCTCAATACTAGGTTCCTAGTAACTTAAGTTGGATAGCAACCTTAAATTGCCATTTTTATATAAAAACTTTTTTTCTCTTGTAACATAATGTTTAAATTTTTTCTGTTGAGTCACTGCAATTTTGAATTCAGCCTCTGAGTTTGCAATATTGATTGCATCCATTTCTGAAATACGCTGAGACAAGAGCTCTTAAAAATACCAATTTCTTTCAAAAGGCTGGAGGTTTTTTTTTTGATGAATTCTAATCTAAATTGAGCTCCTTCTTGTTTGTTACCCTCCAGCTCTAATCACAACCTGCAATTAATTTATTTGATAATATCTGTCTCCTCTAGTTTAACTGCAAGCTCCTTGAGGAAGGGTGCTTGTCTGTGTTGCTCTGCATTGGGTTTGAGGCATAAGGTGGGTACATAAAGTGGGCTTGCAGGGAATATTTGTTAGATGAATGAAACCTAAGTTTGAAAGCAGTTATTAATCAAGCATTATTTGTTTAAAGAATTACTTGTAAATATGATACCTCCATGTTTGGCTGGAAATTGATTTCATTCTTTCATTTCAGGATGAGCTAATAAGAGCAATTACAGCTCGCTCAGCCAGACAAAGGAGTTCTGAATACTCAGATGACTTTGACAGTGATGAGATTGGTATGTGGCAGTATGAAAAAATGAACCACTTTTCTTTTTTGCTTCTTAGTTTTGTATTTAGCCAGCTCCCCCAACCCACTCTTCCAAATCACTTATGTTAAAATAATACCCATGCATTCACTAGTTTTAGATTTTCAACTTTTTAATTAGTAGAAAACCACTCTTAATTTTCAAGAAGTTGTATGATTTTTCTTGTGGGTTTTTTTTTTTTGAATGTGTATATTAAAATATAAATTAATTGATGCCAGGTTTGCAGCAAAAGGAGGGCTGCCAGTGGTAAACCACATTGGAGAAGAGAGATTCATCTTTACGATCAAGCCTAGGAGGTGCTACAGCTAGTTAGCAACTAGGTCCCACAGAACTAAACTTTGCTGCACATTGGAAGTGCTTTATAATGCTTGCTATAAATCGGACTTTTTTTTTTTTGGCTATGATAATGGGTCAATTTAAAAACCACAGACTCTTTGTGTTTCATATATCAGTACTATTATAATTTAATTTGGTTTCTCTTAGCCATGTAAAAATATTAACATTTTAGTCAGTTGTAAGCATATGGAATTCTAAACTTCATATTTTATTCTTTAAAATTTGGTGAATAATTGTTAATGATTTCTGTAAAACCGATCATAACCAAAGTTAAATCACTGCTATGTAGTTAGCTTAGCATTCCTTATGATTCTTAGTAAAGCTAATATTCTGGTGTGGATGAAATTGTAGTTCCAAAATTTCTAAGGAAAAAAATATAATTAGTTGTTACTAATTAAATTCTTTCATTTACAAATGTTCTTGATTTCATATGATGAAGTAATTTGCAAATAGAAGTTTTACAGTCCAAAATCGAAATTAAATGCTACATGGGTGATTGTTAGGTACATTTGGACGAATTTTTCCAGAGCAAACACAGTGTTTACTGCCCTACAGACACACGATAAATACATTTTGAATCAATCAATGAAATTGGAATTATTATTTCATAAATGTCAATGAAACATGCCTGAGTTAGCTGTGTTTTTAGAGCTGCAAGTTTATTTATAAAATACATTTGTGCCTATTCATTGTTGTAATTTTGTTTGTAGTTTTTAAGGTAATCTTTTTGATTAAATTAATATAACATTGACAATTTAAAAAAAATACTGTTGAAAACATTTTTTCTTTTCACTTTTTCAGTTTCTTTAGGTGATTTTTCCGACACTTCAACAGATGAAAATTCAGTTAATAAAAAAATGAACGACTTTCATATATCGGATGATGAAGAAAAGAATCCTTCAAAACTGTCTTTTTTGAAAACCAAGAAATCAGACAGTAACGTAACCAAAGATGAGCCAGTATGTGCCATCAAAAATGATGAGGAGACAGCACCTGAAGGGTGTGAAGACATTGTTGTAAAATCCTCTGAATCTCAAAATAAGGACGAGGAATTTGAAAAAGACAAAATAAAAATGAAACCTAAACCCAGAGTTCGTTCAATTAAAAGCACATCTTCAGGTAATTTGTTAGGATTACTATAATTGCATTTCTTGAAAGTTTATTTTAAAATAATCAGTCCCAAAGCTTTTTATATGGTAGCTAGTATATATTTAAGAGAAAAAGACAGACTTAACTTCAGTTTTACACACCTGTTGTATTTTGTCTCGCATCTAGGCTGTTGCCTGATAGAAAGCCAGAGCACCTTTAGTCATCCATAGCACCCATCGTTGTAGCCCTCCACACACCTAGACCTGTGAGTTTCAGTTTTGTTTGCAGGCATGGAACTAGAATGGAATCCTGTTTAATCCCTGTCACACTCTAGAGATTAGAGTTACAGCAGTATTGGGACTAATCCTTAAAACAGTCATTGCTATACCAATATTGCACCAGAAAATTTTCTTGACGTTTGTATATTTGAAGGATGAGTTATGTTGTTGTTGCTGCTGCTGTTAGTTGAAGCTTCCAGGTGCTCCTTGAGAGAATCTCCATTTGGTCTCTGTATATATGAAAATCTACTAAGGTTCAGTTTTCCAAAGGAAAGTTCTGATGTGATCTGAGATTACAGGAGATTTTCCACAATTGTACTGAACTTTAAGCATAAAGATACAAAGATAGAATGAAACAGAGACCAAGCCCTCTCATGCCCTGGGCTACCATTCTTGAACTTGTACGTGCAAGTTTAAGGGTTTTGTGTTTTTCAAGTCTTCTTTCTATTTTATAAAGGAATTATTAGTTGATGTTAACCTTCATAAAAGTCTCCTTCCATATCATCAGTAAATACAGTGCTGGTAAATATTTCATACTTTGCTTATTGGAAACTAGTGGTAACATCAGACAAAATTTTATTTCAGGCATGTATTAGGGATCTGCTCCTTTCTTCTTGATCGCACAATCTCATTAACTTTGAAATGAGCAAAGGATCTAAGCAGGCCAAAGAACACTAGAATAATGTCCAGGACATGGAGGGGAAAAGCCACTGTGTGTTAGTTATATATGACTTCAGCAAATAAGTTAAGCTTCACTATCTTCATGATGAGGAAGCTAATAAAGCCCTCTTTCTATTCCTGCAAAATTGTTGTAAGAATTTATTGAAGTGCATCTCATAAACTATAAAAAAAAGAAAACTACAAAAATGCAAACAGGAGGCATAATTAAACAGAATTAACTCGTTAAAATGTACCTTCCAAGTAGAGTGAGTGAAATCAAAGCTGGAGAGAAGAGGAACGTAATTGAACTTGTTATTGAGAAATTGCTAGCATATAGCAGCTAAAAATTTGTCTGAGACAGGTGGACGTATATACTTAAAAGTGTATGGTAGATAATTAGGAAAGCAATAATCCACCTATTTCATACCTTAAAACAAACAAACAAACAAACAAAAAAAGAAACAAACCTGCTTGTGGTGGGTTAAAAGGGTTCAAATGAATCAGGAAATACTGTATTTTAACCACAAGGTGGCATCAGGATTCCAAATGCTATATGCAATATTATATTTAGCATGTGTAAAATAAAAATAATTACCTAAATAGGTAATTGTATACATTGATTACCAAAAGAGCATTTTTCTTAAAGTATAGGTGTTTTTATTTTCTTTCTGGGAACTTGACAGTGCTTCTGGAAGTGGAATTGTAATAGAAAATTTATGAAAGTTGTCATTCTCAACTTCTTCATGTTGAAGAGTAAAAACCGAGGCTAGTGTTCCTAAGATAATATTTGGCATATAGAATATATTAAGTGTTTAAATGAATAAGTTGATACATGAATGATTTATCTTTGAAAGAGGGAGTATAGCTCATGAGTTTATCCTTCTCTAAATTCTTTGACATTTTTATTACATATATAGGTTTGGAACTCAGCATTTTTAATGTGGTGAGATATTACTGAGTAGCAAGTAATACTTCATCAAAATATTAGAACTTGAAGGTTTTCTCTGTCCTTGCTTATCTTTTATAAAACGTATAATAAACAGACTTTACAACCACCACTGAAGTGACAGTTGCTCTATAAAGTGAAAGTGTTTTTTGCAGGATATGTTTTTGTTTTAATACTAACATGACTGAAATCATGAACTTTGGAATCAGGATGTCTCTCCTTTAATCTGAGATCTGCAGCCTGGCATAGTTTGTGACTTTGGGCATGAGACTTCCTTGTTCTCATTTTATTCATCTTTAAAAATGGGATAATAGTTGTCTACCTCTAGGAGTTTGTGGCAATTAAATGAGTTCACATATTTGAAGTGCTTAGAACGGTATTGGCATAAATTTCCCACTCTATAAATGTTCTGATTATTCATTTTTTATTTAGCATATGTTTATCAACATGCTCAGCAGATACAAATATCCGTCATGCAGGATGCATAAGTTCTAGAGATCTGCTGTACAACATCGTGCCTGTAGTTAACAATACTGTCGTTTGCACTTAATGAGAAGGTAGATCTCATGTTGTGTTCCTACCACAATAATAAAAAAAAAATGGACTCAACACCTTCTTTCAGGCATTATGTAATACTCTACTTAAAATGAGGCTTGAAAGACATGCAAGCATTTGTCAGAAGGAAAAGCAGGAAATGGATATTCTAGGCAGGGGTATCAGCTTGGGTAAAGGTATGGTAGGAGGGATTGTGGCATGTGTGCGTGACAACTTAGCCCAGCATTTCAGGAACACAGATTACAAAATGGCTGTAAACAAGACAGTGAGGGAAAAACCATAAAAACCTTTTATATTGTTCAAAGGCAGTTAAGCTTTTAGGATGGGATCCTGGGGAACCATTGAAGAATTTTGTAGAGAGGAGTGATGTGATCGGATTCGCATTTTGTATATATCATGGGAGCAGTAATCTAGGAAAGAGTGGATAAGGACCTGACTGTAGGGATGTAGAAAGTGGAATAAATGAGATATTTGGCAAGTGGAATTGATGGGGTATATTAATGCTTTGGATATAGGGGAGAATAGAGGGAGGAATCTAGGGCCCTTGGATTTGGGGTTGAGCATTTGGCTGGAGTTAAGGATGTAGCTAAAATTTTCAAGGAATTAGTTATTATAATACCAACTTGGTATGGCTGTGGAATCTTCTGGCAGCAGTCATAAACCCATTTATAGGTATATGGGAGGAAGATGTTACTTAGACCAGTTTTGAAGTTTAGAAAAATGCATTTGTAGAACAATAGAAATATAACTATATATAGCAGGTAAAATTCAGGCAAAAAATATATACGTGGAAAACCTTTCCATTATGTTTCAAATGCTTGAGTGCATGTCAGCATTAGATTCTTGTCTTAAACTTAGAAGTAATGAAAATAGCGAAATTTTAATAACTGCTAAAGAAATTTTATGGACTCAGAACAATTAACTCATAAAAGATTCCTTCTTCTAGTGAGATTCAGCACTCCTGTCCCTCGTGTGCCAACATCTTCATCTTTGTCCTTGTAACAGAACTGACCTTTGTCTCATAATTTTGTTTAGAAAAATCAACCTGTAAAGTCCCTGGACAGGTCCATTGCCACTTTGTTGATTATGAGATTTAGTACTTGTACACAGCTTGGTAGTCAAAGGTTTGTTGGATGAATCTCCTCATTTTTTAGTGGTAGAAACAGGCAAGATTTTGTTTTTTAACATTTTTTTGAATACTATGAGAGTTCATAGGCCAGGCACGGTGGCTCATGCCTGTAATCCCAGCACTTTGGAAGGCTGAGGCGGCTGGATCACCTGAGATTGGGAGCTGGAGTCCAGCCTGGCCAACATGGAGAAACCCCATCTCTACTAAAAATACAAAATTAGCCAGGCGTGGTGGCGCACGCCTGTAATCCCAGCTACTCGGGAGGCTGAGGCAGGAGAATCACTTGAACCTGGGGGGGCAGAGGTTGCTGCGAGGCGAGATTGTGCCAGTGCACTCCAGCCTGGGCAACAAGAGTGAAACTCTGTCTCAAAAAAAAAAAAAATAGTTCATAATGTTGAAGAGTTAACTTCTCGTGAAGCTAAAGTATACTGGTTACTTTCAGGATGGCAACTATTTTTTTTTTTTTTACTTTGATCATTAACTGTCATTTGTGCCTTACTAGATAGAGCTCTGTATAGAAAAGAGTTGTGGGCTTCATCTGGACTCTTCAGGACAGAGAGCTAAGGGGCATGGGCACAGGAGGGAAGTATGGTGGCACCCAGAGAGATAGATAAGGCCATGGTGACTTTTTTGTACACATACTTTAAGCATTTTATTTTTCAGTGGAAAACAACAGCCTTGACACAGATGCTCACTTTAAACCATCACCTCGGCCAAGGAGTATGTTAAAAAAGAATAGCCACAGAGAGGAGACAGATGGACTAGAAGATAAAGAAACTGCCCTCAGTAAAGAATTGGAGTTACGTTCTTCACCCTCTTTCCTTCCAATGCCGAATGGCACACAATTAGAAGCTGAGAAAAAAGCATTCTCTGCAAACCTTGATGCTGAGGTTAGCACGACTGCTAAACTGTTGAATTGTGTTCTTGAATTTATGCTTTTTTATCTGATTATGAAAAAGAGAGGGAGAGAATGAATTTGTGTGCATGTGTGTGTTTCACATATTTTCTTCTGCAACTGATAAGGAAAGAATTTTTAAAAATACACTGTATTCCACCAAGTTTAAACCTGCATGAATTGTAAAATGTAGCATTATTGTACATACCAGTAAGGAAGAAGGAAATGAATCTAATTAAACTATAACACACCAGTGATTGTAGTGTATCCAGTTTTAAAGGAAGTAAAATGTCAAAAAATGTTGCTTTTCTCAATCTATATAATAGTGTTTATCTTTAATAATTTTTTAAATTTATGTATCTTTGAATTATGTAATTTATGGCTAAGAACAATAATGTCATTTTATTCATTTGATTATATTCACTCAACAAATGTGCGTTCAATGTTCATGGCACTGTTCTGTGTTCCTTTGGGTTATGCTCCAATAGCTATTAAGTGTGGCCTTTCAGATTTCCATCAGGGAGTTTACTATGCATTGTTATTCACTATGAGAAGCAAACTTTCTCTTCTGAACTTTACAGAAGGGAAAAGTACAGGAAGAACATTTATTCTCCATAATCTGCTTGGGCAAATTGGGAAAAAGGAACTGCATGCTACCTGGCCAAGCTTTTTTCTTTTTCTCATCGCTTGTTGGCAGTGTTAGTGTGTAAAGATCTGCTCCCTGGGAGGTGAGGTAGAAAGGGCGGAGAGGAGCTCCTCTGTGCTATGAATAAATGGGGAACCCCCTTTATTCAGACCGGAAGTATCAGGAAGCACAATGGGATGCCAATTCAAATCTTGTTCTGCGGTTGAACTTTACTGGTACAGTCGACAATTTGATATATGTCTAGCTGACACCACCAAGCTGTTTAATTTGTTCTGAAAACCAGAAGGCGAAGCCCAAGCAATTACTTTATATTTGAGAAAATTATCTGGTCAGTTGAATATTGTGCTAGTTTGTTGTAGCTAAATGGGTTCTTTTTAATTATTAATGCTAAATGTCCTAGCCTTAGTGTATCTTATGAAGGTCTCATTTGCATTTGCAAAGTAGATATGTTCCTCAGGTGTTTAATATAATGTTTTGTAATTTAAGTTTGGTCAACGTGGTTGGTAATACCATTCAGATCTTCTTATCTTTCTCGACTTCTCATCTAATTTGTTTACCAGTTACCAACTTAGGGTTATTAATATATCACGTTATGTTTGTGGGTTTGTCTATACTTCTCTTTAGTTCTGTCAGTATTTATCTGTTTTTTTAAATTATTGTTTTTATTGTTGTTTCTCTGTTGTTCTTTTCTTGCCTTTTTTGAGGGTATAATCATGAGTTTTTTAGTTTTTTATTGTTATTGACCATTTATCTATATCTGTTTGCATTATATTTTTCATAGTTGCTCAGTGGGCTACAAAATACATCTAAAAATTCTCAGTCTGTTTAGAATTGATATTGTATTGTTTCACATTTGACATAGAAATCTTGCTTATAGTTCCATATACTCCCTCATCCATTGTGCTATCATTGTATATATTACATCTACGTATCATATAACCCACACAATAAAGTTAAAACTTTTCTTTCAAGAGCCCTTTTATTCTTCATATTAGACTTTTAAAGAATTAAAGAAGACTAGAATATATATAGATATATACAGGATCTGCTTTTATAGGATTTGCTGAGGTCTCCCTTATGCCACAGATAGAGGTGGCAAACGTTTTTGGTGAATTTCATGATGCTGATTTTGTGGTCACTGTCCTCTGCTATTTTGGCTGATCTGGTGGTCCTAGACTCTATCTTCTGCCCCTGCGAGTCAGTCCACCAAGGCTGTGGCCTCCTATTACTTGAGCTGCATAGATTGCAGAATGCCTTCTGGCAAAAAGCTACTAATTTGTAGATCTCCTCAGGTGAAGCTTTGTCTTTCAGGGTAGACTCCAGTGTCTCAGCCTTCTTCCATTTTCTCACATGTTTTCTCTCCTCTGCTTTTGGCATATAATTTCCTTTGCATCCATAAAATATCACGGGGAAAGAGAATTAAAATATTTGCACAACAAAGTTGAACTTCGTACAATATAATATCACCTTTAGGCTAGGTGATTCTAAAAAGAAATATTTACACTTTGATACGCAAATATAATTATTTCATCTCAGATATAGTTTTCAGGAATTTTGAGGAAAACTCAAGTGCATATAGTCTATGTGCTTTTTCTATCTAAAATATTTGGAAGTAGCTGCTTACTTGATTTTATTAAATGCTTTCATTTGGATAACTAGTAATATTTGCTTGGGACTAAAGTATTTTACCTGTCTTCTTTATGCATTCCTTCAAAGGATAATTGTAGGAAGAGTTATCAAATCAAATCTTGGCCTTAAATATTTATAAGAAATTTGATTTTAAAGTAATAGGAGTTTTGAAAATTGGTAAAATCAAATAGAGAGGTGGTGGCAGTTAGGTAAAGAACTTGAGTAACTCTTTCAGTGGCCCCTTTTAATGACCAAGACATCAAGGCTTGAAAGTAAAGCATACTCACCTCCATTGGCTCGTCACATTTTGTGTTTCAGCAAGAAATGCCTAATCATGCAGATTTCAGAATTATGCCCTATTTCGGAATTTGTAGTTTTACTAATGCTGTTGTTCCCACAAATGTTGGTAACTAAACTTACTTGGCAAATATATTTTTTTGCAAAAACAGGATTCATGCTTAACAAGTCTATCATCGTCATCTCTTAAACAAATTCTTGGAGATTCTTTTTCACCAGGATCTGAGGGAAATGCATCCATAAAAGGTGGTTATATCTAATAATTATATCTTATTTGTGAACTCTGTACTACTTAGAATATCCTGTTTGTAGGAGAAGTCATACTTTCTATAGTTATAAGGGAAATACATGTTTTTGTGTGTTTGAGTTTTAATCCAGACCATATAGTTAACTAACTGTGATTTTGGATGCAGAACTTAATCTCTCATTGCCTCAATTTCCCCAAATTATATTATCTGTCTCATAAGGTTATTGTGAAAATTAAGTGATGTAGTACATTTTAGCCACTAAGCCTAATTCATGCCCCAAGTGGAGTGAGCACTTACGGTAAACTATCGTTATGTATGGGTTGCTGTGATATACTGCAGGACAACATAAGAGCTAGGTGGAATTTTAAAGTGAGACTAAGCTAGGTTTGAATACCGGTACACATTACATTACATAAGCAAAGCAATTAACCTTTCTGACCCTTTATATTAATCTTTAAAAATGGGTAAAATAAGAATAATCTGTTATAGGGTGGTGTAAAATTAAATAAATTAATATATGCAAAGTATTTACAGCAATACCATAGTAAGCACTTAGTGTGATATGTGAATTAACATTTTTTTTTTCTTAATGCTGTGATATGTAGCTTAATGAAAGCTAAAACATATAGCTATTTCTAGGTCTGAGATGTGAACATTTATTAAGTGCTTACTAGGTAGTATCATTTTTGTCATTTTACAGATGAGAAAAGCTGAAGTACAGTGATTTGGGGAAACATACCCAAGGTTAGAGATGGAGCCACAGTTAAATCTTGGGCTCCAAAGTTCTCGTTCCTTTCACCTGAGTACATTAAGAGCTCCAAAGAATCCAGTAATGAATTGAGTCATGAGTAATTTCCAAATGTGAATAATAATGTAATTTTAAGCCCATTTTACCTCAAAACAAATTCTAAAAAAAAAAAAAGATGGTCATAATGAAACCAACAGAATTAAGACTTTTGACAGTGAAGATTCAGATTTTGCTGGGAGGTGGATCTTCGCAGAACTGAAAGTTGGTGATCCCACTCCCAAATATAGTAGAATCAGGATAGTAGAATCAATTCTATAAATGCAAAACTGAGTCTTTGTATGCCAGAGCTTGAGCCTGTTTCTTGGAGCACTGAGAGTATAAGCATTAGGCTTGTCTTTATTGTCCCTTATGTTATCAGAGGCAGTACTGCATCTTGGTGGGATGAAACTCAGTAGAGACTGTGTAAAAGTGCATTGATTCTTGGTTCTTTCTGCATCTATACCATTCAACAATTGTACTACTAGTAACTGTAGTAGCCTAGGGAGGTGTGGCTCCTTCTTTCGCAGCCTGTTGTTCTAGCTAAGAAACTCAGACTTTAGGGTTGAACAGATATTGTCATCTCACTTACTTGGTTTGTGTATCAACAGCTCTTTTAATGTTTCTTTTGTCTTAGGGTAGTTACTTCATTCTGTTTGTTAATATGCTATTTTTGTAGGTATTAGATTTGTTAAGTGCTTCATTAAACGTAGACTTTTTTGTGCAAGTTTAATATGACAGTTTTCTTCATATTTTGTAAGAAAAAAAGATTATAAATAGTTTAAAAGAAAGCAAATGAATCTGGTATTCACATATTTATTCAGAAGGGGGTTTTAATGGTATTACTTTGTCTCAAAATAGATCGAAATGAAGAAATCACTGAAAACCATAATTCCTTGAAATCAGATGAAAATGAAGAGCATTCATTTTCAGCAGACCATGTCACTCCTGCATTTGAGAAATCCAAGGAAAGTCAAGTGACTGCTGATGACCTTGAAGAAGAAAAGGAGAAAGCTGAACTGATTATGGATGGTGACGGAACAGTTGATCCACTACTATCTAAATCTCAGAGTATCTTAATACCTGTCAGTTCAACAGTGTCTGCAAAGGTATTTATAAAAATTCATACCTTTCATTCTATAGCTTAAAACTTGAAATAGAACTTGAAGATTTTTTTTCTTTTTTTCTTTTCTTTTCTTTTTTTTTTTTTGACATGGAGTTTCACTGTCTCACCCAGGCTGGAGTGCAGTGATGCATGCAAACTCAGCTTACTGCAACCTCCGCCTCCTTCAAGCAATTCTCTGCCTTAGCCTTCAGAGTAGCTGGGAATACAGGCGCCCACCACCATACCTGGCTAATTTTTTATAGTTTTAGTAGAGATGGGGTTTCACCGTACTGGCCAGGCTGGTCTTGAACTCCTGACCTCTGTGATCCACCTACCTCGGCCTCCCAAAGTGCTGGCATTACAGGCATGAGCCACACCAGGCCAGAAATTTTATCTTCTGTGTTCTGAATTACCTGGGGAAAATTTATTTTTTGTTAGGGATATTTTCACATGGTTCTTACTTAATCCAATAGAATTTAACTTTAAGGAAAGTTTGCAGTGAATATAATGAAACCCAGTGTTTAAAAATTATTAGAGGCATTTGATCATAATATACTTTTAAATATTTCAGAAATGCATACCCATAGTGTATATATTCCCATAGGTATTCATATTTTAAAAATATAAATGTCTGGAATAATTTCTGACATTTTAAATTATAGTTATGCTTTTGGATATTGTTTTAAAACATGTTAACAATTTTAATGAAAGTCTTAAAAATATTTATCAATATCCATGCTTCTTTGAAATAGATAGTTCTCAGGAACATTAATACTTGATCCTTTGCCTTTATTTCCTAATTTTCAAAATAATGAATTAGTGCCCTAGCAACCTCCAGACGTGATGAAGTTGCTTTGTTTTTTTTTTTCTTTTCTTATTTCATATAAATTTAACAGGTACAAAGTTCTTTTTTGTTACATGGTTATATTGTATAGTAGTAAAGTCAGACTTCTAGTATAAACTAAAATGAACATTGTACCCATTAAGTAATTTCTCATCCCTCACCTCCATCCCACTCTTCCTAGTCTCCAGTATCTATTATTCCATACTCTGTATACATGTGTACACATTATTTAGCTCCCACTTGTAAGAACAGGCACCGTTTGATTTTCTGTTTCTGATTTATTTCACTTCAGGTAATAGCCTTCAGTTCCATCCAAGTTGTTGTAAAAGACATTATTTCTTTTATGTATGGCTACATAGTATTCCGTTTGTGTGTGTGTGTGTGTGTGTGTGTGTGTGTGTGTGTGTCTGTACGTGTACATCACATTTTTTTAGCCAGTCATATGTTGATGTACACTTAGGTTGATTCCTTACCTTTGCTGTTGTGACTAGTGCTGTGATAAACATGTAAGCAGGTATCTTTTATATAATGGTTTATTTTCCTTTTGGCAGATACTCATAGTGGGGTTGCTGGATTGAATGGTAGTTCTATTTTTACTTCTTTAATACATTCACATATTATTTTCCATAGAGATTGTACTAATTTACATTCTTGCCAAGAGTATATAAGCATTCCCTTTTCTCTGTGTTCTCACCAACATTTGTTACTTTTTAAACTTTTTAATAATAACTGAATATTTGGACTAGTATAAGATATCTCACTGTGGTTTTAATTTGTGTTTCTCTGATGATTAGTGATGGTGAGCATTTTTTTTTTTCACGTTTCTTGACCACTTGTATGTCTTCTTTTCAGGAATATCTATTCACATTTTTTACCCTCTTTTTAACAGGGTTTATTTGGTTTTTATTGTTGTTGAGGGGAACATTATTGTAACCTTAAGAAACAGATATGTGATGTGTAGGATTACCTGTCTTTACAATAAATTGTGCCTGAGTGCGACACGTTAAAAATTTATAGTATAGCATTTTCAGTGTTTGTTTCTCCTGAATTTGTCATTATCTCTTATAGCTGCAATTAGTTAGCAGCTCTGTGTACTTATTATCAGGGGAAGAAAACAGTGCTAGCTGAAAATTTGTGTTTGAGCAATACTTTCATAACATAGAATACCAGCTTTTCTGAAAATGTATGGTTTCTTAATTAAGCCGTGCTCCAGGTATATCATCCTTAGCTACTTTCCTTAGGGTAAAACACAGTTAGGGATGTGTTTATATTTGTGCTTTCACTTTACCATTATCATCCATCAGTCTGTGTAAAGTAAAAAAGTTCTTCCTTAAAAGAAGAAAGAGTATTCTGGAGTTTATAGACAGGATTGTAGAATGTTTAATTAGAACAGGCAATTTATGTGTAACAGTAAGGTTGTAACATATTTCTTTTGACTGGACCCTTGACTCCATTCTTACTCTCCACTGAGTGACCTTTTCTAAACAAGAATCTTACCATTCTTCATGAAAGTCTTTTTGTTGGTTTCTCATCACAAGAATGCAGCCCAGACTCCTCATCGCCACCTAGTGGTCTCACATGGTTCTTCTCTGACCACATCTTCCTCCACTTTCCCTGCCATTCACCTATGCTTCAGCTCCATTCACCTCTTTCTGTTTTTCAAAGATACCAAGCTCTGTCTTTTCTCAGGCTTTTACCACTTGCTGTTTCTTTCTTTCATAGACTTTGACGTGGGCCCTTGGCACTCATTATTTGTCTCAGCTCTGATGTCAGGCCCTCCAGACAGCCTTCTCTCATCAACTTCTCTAAAGCAGCCCCTCAAACCCGCTTTAGTCACTGTCTGTCACTGTACAATATTTTATCTCCTTCATGAATCATGTTTGCTTATATGTTTATTTTGGTCAGCCCTCTCTAAAATTTAATCTTAAGGGCATTTTATTCACTGATTTCTTCCCAGTGTCTGATGTGTTTGACACAGAGTAGATGCTTAAAAAATACTGGCTTACTGGCAGTTTTTGGCTTCTAAGCCTAACAAGGATAGTTGTCATGAGTAAATCATCTATGGCATTTTCTGTTTAATAGAAAACAATTGAAGATAGAAATATGAAGAATAAAAAGTCAACAAATAATAGAGCATCCAGTGCATCTGCCAGGTAATAAAGTTATCAGTATTTGTCCTCTATGGGCTTGCATTCTAGCAAAGCTAGTTTTAATTTAACTTTCACAAAGTAAATTTCATTTGGTGTTACTGTATTGTCTCTTTATTTCCATTTCATAAGATGAAAGGAGTAGTTACTTCATGATAAAACCCCTTGGTTGATGATATGATTCGAAATAAAGTAATTTATAAAAAGTAAGTCTATTACTGGTTGTTTTAATGTCTAGAATGTTTATACAATACATTTGGTCTCCAGGATCAGCCTACGAATATTTTTCTTCTTTCTTAATGTCACTGATTAGGGGTTCTCTGTGCTCCACACTGCTTCTGGAATAGAGCTTCCTTCTCCTTCTCCTATTTTTCCTAAGATAAGAGATACAAAATGGTAATAAAGCTGAAGTCCAGCAATAATATTTATTATCAAGTATTTTTATCTAACGTGAAAAATTTTACTGAAAGCCTTCAGAATCTAGGAACTAAGTATGTTTATTAAAATGATAATCGACATAGCTTCACTCACACCAATGATAATGAATTCTTAACTCATAAGCGCTCATCAAAACCTTCTGAATCTCTAAATTATCGTTAGTCAAATTATCATTTATCAAATAAAACAGCCACCAAGCTTTTTCTGCAAATGGCCAGTTAGTACATATTTTAGGCTTTATTGCAGCTACTCATTTCTACTGTTTTAACAGGAAAACAGCCACAGGCAAAACTTAAGTGAATGATTACAGCTATGGTGCAATAAACTTTGTATACCAAAACTGAGGGCTGGCCATTTTTCCTACCAGTCCCTTAAATAGATGGTACTATTCTTTCTAATTTTGTATTTGGAATAGTACATGTAACAAAATGATGAAACTATTAAAAGAGTGATTATAACCTACTTTATTGTTTTTTCCATGTAACTTGAGAAGTGGTCCATATTTCTTAAAATGGGTCTAATTACAAGTATTTTAAAAGAGCAATCATTTTAACCTATATAAACTTAAAGTTACAAAATTTAAATTACGTTGCAAGGCACATATGTCTCCAACATAACTTCATACTCTTTGTATACTAAGACTGTACATTTTACCTACATCATTTTCAAAGTCATTATAGTTTGTTAAATTATAATGTAGTTTTCCATTTTTTTGTTGTTTTTGAGATGGAGTCTCACTCTGTTGCTCAGACTGGAGTGCAGTAGCACGATCTCTGCTCACTGCAACCTCTGCCTCCTGGGCCCAAGTGGTTCTCGCACCTCAGCCTCCAGAGTAGCTAGGACTACCGGCATGTGCCACCACACTGGCTAGTTTGTTTTTTTTTGTATTTTTGGTAGAGACAGGGTTTCCCCATGTTGCCCAGGCTGGTCTGTAACTACTGAGCTCAAGTGATCCACCCACTTTGGCCTTCCAAAATGCTGGGATTACAGGTATGAACCATTGTGCCTGACCAGTTTTCAAATATTATACATACATATTCTAACCAATTTATTTTCCACCAAATGCAATTGTAATATTTTGTCTTTGTTACTTTGGATCTTTTCAGATTAATGACCTCTGAGTTTCTGAAGAAATCTAGTTCTAAAAGGAGAACTCCACCAACAACTCCCTCTTCTCACTATTTAGGGACTTTAAAAGTCTTGGACCAAAAACCTTCACAGAAACAAGGCATAGAATCTGATAGAGCAGATGACATAAGAGCAGCTGTTTATCAGGTAAAAAAGGAAAATATTTTTAAGAAGAGAAGAAGAATAATCACTTTTATAAGCCTACCATGTTTATAAAGAATAACCCTGTCAGAAATGATGATTTAATACTTAAATTTATTGAGAAAGATTTTTCTTTTAATACATGAGTAATCCATAGATATTTTACTAAATTATTTGCTTCCACACTTTGTATAACTGATCATAGTTGCTGTTTTTAAAGAGAGAATATGCTATAGCAATTTATAGAAATATAGCAAAAGCTAAAATGTTGTAAAGTCTGCATATGTTTTCATCTTTTTGAAGTTTATATGAACAAAATAATTACTATGAACAAAAAGTTATTGAATTTTTTCTTTCCTGAGATGTTAGGCATACACAGAAAAAAGATTTTATTTATTTATTCACAATTCTAAAAAAGATCTTGTCTTTTTATGTAGAATAGTGCACTTTAGAAAATTGTACATGTGAATTTCAGAGAAAAATGTTAATATAAAGAATTCTAATTCATTTACGAAATTTTGAATATTACATAACCTTTTTCTTGTTCTCGTAGGAGTGGTTAGAAAAGAAAAATGTATATTTACATGAAATGCACAGAATAAAAAGAATTGAAAGTGAAAACTTAAGGATCCAAAATGAACAGGTATTCTGACTTACAAAAGTAAAAGTGTTCTGAATATTTATTTCAGTAAAATATCCCTGAATATATAACTTTTCTAAATCAACTTTTCAAATGGCAAAATTACTTATATATTAAAGAATTAATTTCTGGTTTTATTTCTGTTTTGCTTTATACATTTTAGTTTGATATAATTGTCTTACATTAAAACAGATTTTAATTTTGTATATGTTTAGGATAGCTTTGTTCCTGCTGATTTTGAAGTTTTATTGTTTGTGAGCACTTAATTAACTCTTAAAAGTTGACTTCATTTAGAATTTAACAAGAAGGTCAGGCACTGTGGCTCACACCGGTAATCCCATCACTTTGGGAGGCCAAGGCAGGCGGAATCCCTTGAGGTTTGGAGTTCACACCAGCATGGGCAATGTGGTGAAACCCTGTCTTTACTAAAAGTACAAAAATTAGCTGGGCATAGTGGTGGGCACCTGTAATCCCAGCTTCTTGGGAGGGAGGAGGAGGTTGCAGTTAGCTGAGATTGAGCCACTGTAGTCCAGCCAGGGTGACAGAGACTCTGTCTCAAAAAAAAAAAAAAAAAAAAAAAAAAGCACAAGAAGATAAAGGATCGTTAGCTACTAGTTATTCTTGAGTTTTCCTCTTTTCTCTCTTGAATTTTGTAAGTATCTCAAGTCCAACCCCTACCTGAGCTCTTGATTTATGTCCTTTCTCATCAATCGGAGGTGTACTTTTGTTCCTGTCTCTTCTGTACTGAGTCTATTCCTCTAACTCCTGCTCATAATACACTCAGTTATTTCCTATCTTCTAAAATAAAAGTTCTGAAAAATATTCCAATGTGTTGTTCAATACTAAAATAAATTTAGAAGAAAACAATTTTCCGAAGTGAACAGAACAATAATTCATCAGTCGCAAAGGGAGCAGCCTTCCAGGAGGCGCGCCTGTCTGTCTCTTACCCACGTTCATAGCAGTAGCGGCTCTGGTCACTGTCATACCCCTTCTCCTTTGATCTTCACAACTCTGTGAGGTAGATGTACTTTGACTTCTAAATTATGTTACCCCATATTAAGGTTTTATGTCATTTAGTAATAAACAATAAAGCAAACATAGGCTATTATGGGATTAGATTGCAGGAAGTAAAATAACATAACTTGGTATACAGTCTCCAACCTATTTTTCATTCTAGCACATCCCTTCAACATTTGGAATACATCAGTAAGAACTTTATGTTTTGATACTATTCAAAATTAAGATTGAAACCAAAGATCTGTATCTTACTGCATGACTTGGCCAATTTGCCTTACTCTAACTTACTTTGTAAGCCTTTAACTTTCCTGATTTTTTTTACTCCAATATTTTATTATGAAAATTTTACTGCACCACTTAGCCTTTTACAGTTTATTTTGACATCATTTGTTTAGTACATTTCAAATTGGCATTTTTCTCATTAATAGGTCAATATGTGATAAATGTTTTTAGAAAATGACATTTTAAAATCAATGAATAATTCAGATAATGTTCTTTGTAAATTAACTTATCTAAGCCACTCTAAATAATCTACTTTAAAAGTTAATTTCTAAGTACAGTGAGTATCAGAAGATTAAAGATAAATGTGTATGTGTATATTTATTCCTAGCCATATTTGCCTATATATGTGTGTGTATATATATGTGTGTGTATATCACTCTATTATTTATTCCAATGTAGAAAAGAGCTGCTAAGAGAGAAGAAGCAATAGCATCATTTGAGGCCTGGAAGGCTATGAAAGAAAAGGAAGCAAAGAAAATAGCTGCCAAAAAGAGGCTTGAAGAAAAAAACAAGAAGAAAACTGAAGAAGAAAATGCTGTGAGAAAAGAAGAAGCACTACAAGTATTTGAGAGCTTTGCACATCTTACTTAAAAAATATTTGAAATCCAATTAATGCTGAACCATATTTTTATTTATTTTCAAATATTCACAGTAAGAACATTATTCTGAACTTTTTCAGGCTTTTGAAAAATGGAAAGAGAAAAAGATGGAATATCTTAAAGAGAAAAACAGAAAGGAGAGAGAATATGAAAGAGCAAAGAAACAGAAAGAGGAGGAGACTGTTGCCGAGAAAAAGAAAGATAATTTAACTGCTGTTGAAAAATGGTAATCCAAGATCAGAAATATTTTAATATATTTTAAATGACTAACACTTCCGGATTGTATAAAAATTCCTTACTTGAGATTTACTAATACATTTCAATCTCATTACTGTCAAAGATGTACTAGGAAATCTTTAGTATGTATTTTCCTTTAACTCTCCAGTGTTTTATACCATCCTCTATAGGAATGAGAAGAAGGAAGCTTTTTTCAAGCAAAAGGAAAAGGAAAAAATAAATGAGAAAAGAAAAGAAGAACTGAAGAGAGCTGAGAAAAAAGATAAGGATAAACAAGCTATTGATGAATATGAAAAATGGCTGGTAGGAATTATTTGTCAATGCACCTGTATCTTTTTCATGTATACCTTTTGTGTCTTTTCTGTTCCTAATTCTATTTGCTCCAGACCTACTGATCATTTCTACCTAGAAGCTGCTTTGTTAAATTGAAGCTCTCCTCCTGCACATAGCCTATTTTCTTTGATTTAGTCATTTTTATTAAGGTTTCTACTATTCCCTCAAATACCCAGCTTAAAACTTGTTATAGGCCGGGCATGGTGGCTCACGCCTATAATCCCAGCACTTTGGGAGGCCGAGGCGGGCAGTGGATCATGAGGTCAAGAGATCGAGACCGTCCTGGCCATCATGGTGAAATCCCTTCTCTACTTAAATACAGAAATTAGCTGGGCATGGTGGCATGCTCCTGGAGTTCCAGCTACTTGGGAGGCTGAGACAGAAGAATCGCTTGAACCCAGGAGGCGGAGGTTGTAGTGAGCCAAGATCGCACCACTGCACTCCAGCCTGGCACCTGGCAACAGAGCAAGACTCTATCTCAAAAACAAACAAACAAACAAAACAAACAAAAAAAAAACAACTTGTTATAATCTTCCTTACCTGCATCCTCACATTTACCATTTGCTATTCATGCCCATTCTTCCGTTCTTGCTTTGAAGTGATTCTCACATCTAACATCATAGAAAGAAGACAGGTATACTACTGAGGGTACTACTTGGTGGAACTTGGTCATGACACAAAGTAACACTAAATTTAATAGTGAGAAAATTATTCCATTTTTTATTCTCTTTTGATATTTCTGATGACCTCAAGGAGAATCTCTTATTTTGGTGTTTTTAATGAAAGAGAGCAAGTTTTGGGTTTAGGAGGAGCAATATCTAGCTGAACCAAACATTGTCTATATTTGATTTCCCTTTACTTTTCCTTATAAAAGTTACTTTTCGTTGATGTCAAGCAAAATATTATTTTCCATTTTAGAATATTAACATAAATAGGCATTTTGTCAACTTTTATGTAAGTATGACATTACTATGAATAAATACATAAGTAAGTAACACATTCATATGAATAGTTAACATGTGATTCATCAATCAAAAAGTAGAACATTTCTGCACTAGAAGTCTATCCAGTCAGGTTTCCAATGAAACTTTAAAACAACTCATATCAATCAACTAGTTAAAAAAAAATCATCCAGGTTCTTTTTGATTTGCATTTCTCTGGTTAGAATTGAGCTTGAATATCTTTTTATTTGTGTATGAGCCATTTATATATTATTTTCTCTGTAAATTGTCATTTCATAGACTTTGCACACTTTTCTGTTAGATTGTTGGGTTTTTTTCTTATCAATTTCTAGAATCTTTTGTTTTGTACTAGGGAAATTAGTCCATCATTTTTTATATGTGTTGCAAGTATTTTTCCCCGACATACTGTTGGTTTCCCAGCTTTCCTTATAGTATTTTATACCATGAAGAATTTATTTTTCAGGTGTCAGATTTATCAATCTTTTTTGGGGGGTAGGGTTTTTAACTTTCAGGCATAGTTGAAAAGACCTATACAATTTGAGATTAAACAAAATTCTCTTATTTTTCACCTAACAACTTTCTGACTCTAATATCTTCATGTTTTAGCATTTATTCTACTTAGAATTTATCCCGGTACATGGTGGGAAATATGATTTCAACTTCAGTTTTTTCAAATGTGTCCTTTATAAAGCAGCCCATTTTTACCCATTGATTTGAGGTGCTGCTTTTATTGTATGATACGTTCTCGTATTTTGAGGTCTGCTTCTTACTTTTCGGTGCCATTAGTCAGTTGTGATTCCAGTGCCACACTTTCATTATTAGGCTTCATATGTCTAAGTATCTGTTGGGTTCATCTCCCTTTATAGTTCTTCTTTCACAGTCTTTCTGACCAGTCTTATTTTTTTCCATAAACTTAAGAATCAGCAGTAGTTAGAAAGGCACATAGGACCAAAATGAGCTATTTAAAGATAGGATAAAAAGATAAAACAATAATAAAATTAAGAAACATGCAAGATCAACATAAAGAAAATTGTAGAACTCTCCTGAACAACACAAATGAAGACTTGAGAAAATAAATCAGAATTGCCCTTGCATACAAACACATTTCATCTTATAATGATGTTATAAAGATGTCAGCTCTCCCTGAAGTAATTTAATGCACTCTTAACAACAGAACTCCATTTTTTATTCTCTTTTGAGAACAGGATTTACTCTGTGTGTTGACTTTAGTACTGCTATATGCTAATTCCTTACAGAGAAATAGTAATAAAATAATCAAAATTGGTTCACCTTTGAATAAAGAACATCGTATTTCGTGATGATTTCCTTAGGTTGAACTTTCAAATAATGCTGTGTTTTTTAAAAAATTAAAAGTTCACTTATATTAAGAAGATGAATACTGACTGCTAGTAACAATTAGGGAAGTTAAATGTAAATATTTGAGTTTTCCATTTTATTTCCATATTTTCATGGAAATGGAATAGAATATCCTTAAGAACTCATATTTCGGTATGCTGTTTTTAATTATAGTATTTAATTACATTGTCATTCTCATCAGTCCTCTGAAGAACAAGGATTCCTAAAGACCAAAGACGAAATAACATGTTTTGGTATCTAGTAAAACATCTACAAATACAGTGCTTCTATAAACACATAAATATACATGTTACAGATCCATTCTCCTTCATACTGAAATTCGTTTGCAGATAGAATAGAACAATTGCCCATATAGAAGTCTAGTGACTTCAATTTTCATGTAAAATAACATCTCAGACTTTTTATATACAAACTAGTTTGCACGGTAAGCATTTGGTGGGTAGTTTAGGGGAAAGTTATAGCCAGAGATCAGGTAAGACCCAAATATTTTTCTTGCCAATTCTCAGATTAATTCATCATCATCTTTAGTAAGAAAATGAGCAGAAAGTTTAGTTTTCCACAGATGAATGTCAGGAGGACTTTTTAACAAGGTTCTTTTAATTATTATCAAGGTAACTATTGATTCTTGTGAATTGACATTACAGTTATTATAATTGTCTATTTTTTAACCTGGCTTCACAGCCCCCTGCTAGTAAGATGAAGCATATTTTACTTTACTGCCCCCCATGTTAAGCAGAATTACAAAAAGAGATTTATTCAGTCAGTTACTCTGGACACAGTCTGGTCACTGCTTTTCTTCTGCCTAGCTGGATGGTCTGCCTCTCTCGAAAATGTTAAAGTAATTGAACATGATCTAATTACAGCTTTGCTTTTCTCAATTAAAATTCTGAACGGAAGTTCCCGTTTTGCCTTAATAGAAATAGCAAGCAAACTTGCAAACATTCTCATGACATGGAACGAGGACATGGGTGTTAAGATTGAAAACAAAACAAAAAAAAAACCTCCTACTTCATTTTGTTCATTATATGTGAATAACTATATGTGAATCGAAATCTTGTACTATATTTCCATGTTATTCTTGTGACATTTACACATATACTGATGAAGAGATGCACACACACCTAATCATTCTCCACAATGCCTCTCCTCCCAAGCCATCAATCTGCAGAGGCAGGTTTCACTAAGGGTTTTCCTGCTCCTTGAGGAATATGAGAAAATTACCAAGATGAAAAAACCACCAAACAAAGTGTTAGCAGGGACATAAAGAAATAGACAATCCAAGTTGTAAGCTGGAAAGACCAGATGCTACTAATATTTCAAGTACACCTAGGTAAATATTTAGATTTCATACTAATACCCAGATACTCAGTTATTTATTTGAAGGGAGTACGTGTAGGGAAATGAAATGTTTCTCAAATTCATCTGTAGAATAAAAATATGGGAGATAATATTTTGAGGATAATATGAAGTAGCAATAAAGTATAAATTTACCATTCCACTTCTGTGAATCATCATTCTTTCTACTGTTCTGAATTGTTCCCATCATGTTCCAGGATACAAATACACCCTCTGAAGTCTGCATTTTCCTCCATCTATAGGCCCATGTTTGTCTGCTTTTCTTTACAGGGAAACATCTAGAAAGTTCCTTTTCATTCACTTCCCACTTCAGTTTTGTCTTTGTCGTCATCACTACGGCAAAAGCACACTTTGAAAGTTACAGGTTTGCATCTAGAACGGTCTATTGTGTGTTTCTGTGCCTGCTTCAGAATGTCTCGGCATTCTACACTGTTGATTTCCTCCTCCTGCAGCTGTCACCTCCTGTGGCTGTCATGCTCCCCTAGTCTTCCCCTCACTTCTCTGCCTGGCTTCTGTGTCACTGGTCGAATTCTTCTACCTAAAAGAATTCTGCATGTTACCATGGCTTGCCAAGCCCCATATGATCTGAGTCCACATTCATGGTTTTCTCACCTGGTGCCACTCTCCTGTCCCTTGTCTCCTGCTTCCTGCGAAGCCTTAGTCACAGCGGATCTTTTTTGTTTCCTCCCACATCACAAGTTTCTTCCCTGCTCTCAGAGCGCTCACCACTACTGTGCTTTGCTTGCAAAGCTATCCCCCAATATTTATCACGAGTGGCTTCTCTTATCCATCACGTCACACTTGAAAGGGGCTTTCCCTGAGTCCATTTTTCATCAAACGTAAATACTCTTTTTTTATTCCTTCTCATAGTTTTAAAACATGTTTCGTAGAAATTCACACAATTTGGGAATTACCTGTTGTTTCTTTTCTTGTTTGTTTCTGCCCATTTTGAAAGTTCCCTGGGGGACAGGGACCATACCTGTGTGTTCAGAATTTTAAAAATTATTTTTATTTGCAATTGACATATAAAAGTGTACATATTTGTAGGGTACAGTGTGATTTTCCATCTATGTATACATTGTGTAATGATCAAAAATGACTCATAAAGGTAGGCACAATATTTGATGCAAAGATAACATTAATATTTAATATATGAAAATGTACAAATTGCTAAAAATTAAAAGCTCTGGTACTGTACATTTAAATGGGTCAAATAATTGAGTAGAAAATTTACAAAAAGGCTAAAGAAATGTTTGAAAATGGGCTCAAGCTCAATAATAAACAAAGAAACATAAGGCAGAATTTTTAACTATTTGTAAAAAATGTGAAGTAGCTCATACTGTCATGACATCTTGAAACTTTGCACCCAGGAAATTTATTTCTGAGAATCTTTTCTCACAAAGTCATCACTAACTTATAATAGGTATTATCTTTGAGTTATAATTGTAGGTCTTTTTTCTATTTTATGCAATTATTTTTTAATATTTTCACTTTTAAAGTTAAAAAAATTAGGGGATATTAATACCTATTGATGTACTTACAAATTAGCAATATTTCCTAGCTATTTTTTTCCTTTTCTTTCCTTTTTTTTTTGAGGCAGAGTCTCACTCTGTTGCCCAGGCTGGAATGCAGTGGTATGATCTTGGCTCACTGCAACCTCTACCTCCTGGGCTCAAGCAATCTTCCCACCTCAGACTTCCAAGTAGCTGAGACTATAGGCACGTGACACCAAATCTGGCTAATTTTTGTATTATTTTGTAGCGATGATGTCTCACCATGTTTCCCAGGCTGGTCTCGAACTTCTAGGCTCAAGTGATCCACCCACCTCAGCCTCCTAAAGTACTGGGATTACAGACATAAGCCACCATGCCCGACCCATACCTGTTATTTCTTTATGACCTGTCAAACTAGGAAGTGATATATAAATATCTTATAATGGATTATTTTGTTCTTCAGCAAGCAACATTATTTGAAAATAATATTCATATATGTACATAAATTTATAGTGTTCTATGTTCTCTTTAGGAAAATAAGGAAAGGCAGGAAAGAATTGAACGAAAACAAAAGAAGCGTCATTCCTTTCTTGAAAGTGAGGCACTTCCTCCATGGAGCCCTCCAAGCAGAACCTGTGTTTGCAAAAGGGTTTTGATCATTCTAGTTCTTACATTATTTAGTAATTTATCAATTTGCCAATATTAGCCACAGATTTAGAACCATTCAATTATTTATAGTTAGAGGAATATAGTTTACTTAAATGCCGGGGACTTCTGCTGACAATGAAAGAGATATTTTGGAGTGTAATCAGTGAAAGCATTTTTTGAACTATAGAAAAACTGCCTCAAATGAAGACCTAATAATCAGATTGCTTTTACCATTAAGATACATAAAGTTTAATCATGTCCTGATAATTCTTATAATGGAATGATTCATGATCTTTTTCACTAAGCTCTGTATGTTACTTAAGTATATTTAATTCTAGTAATAAAAAGGAAACTATCTAGGTACCATAATGATAGAAATGGTTCCATTTGTGGTTGATTGTGAATCTAGATTCAGGTTTTGAAATGAGGGGTCGCTAGGAAGTATGCATGTATTATTCCTTCTGAAACTGATGTTTAGCACAAAGCAGTTGCATTTGTACTGTATAAGTTAGAATTTTGATCAGCTGAGGCAGTAGTTCAGCAGAACTCTAATCATCAAAGCTTTTTATTTAAGAACTTTGCCTTATGTTTTAATATGAGTATACTTTATCTGTTCCAGGCTTATGTGACAATCGTAGGCACTATAATGAGTCCACCTCTGAAATTTTTCTTTCTGAATTCTATCTCACTTTATTATTTCAGTGATACAAAAAGACATTAATGTCACAGAAGTGACATACTTATGTATTATGGAAATTCCACAGGAGTTCAAGGTTATTATCACTATAATTATTTATAACTATAAATAAAGCCATAAAGGTGATTTAGGCAATTACTGTATTCTTAGCTAGTCCAGTTTTATAGCTTATATTCAGAAGACAGCTGTATGGGAAGGTAAATATGTTGACAATGTCCACAAAATGTTTATTTATTTATTTGATCTCTGCATGTCCTTGTATTAATTGGTCTCATACTTGACCTGGTCATCTAGTTTAACATAGACCAAGTATATGCTCTTGAAGTTGAAATGCAACATAGTGAAACCCTATCTATACTAAAATACAAAAGTTAGCTGGGCATGCAGAGATGATAGATGAGAATACACAGTGCAGAGATGATAGATGAGAATACACAGTTACTATTTATTGAGCATCTAATATATAATATATACTGGATCTTTACAAATGTATTTAACATCTTTATAACAACTTTTCAGGGTAGGTGTTATTAGCTTCACCTTACAGATAAAAATAGTGACACTCATAAATCCAGTAACTTGCCGTTCCATTTGGAGTATGCCTGAATTGGGATCAAACAGGATTCAGTCTGTCTTACTGAATCTGCTTCTTTCTGGAATCCCTGTGCTATTTTTCACACTTCTGTGTGGCCTCAGAGACTGCTAAGTTCAGTCAAGACCTCTGTGTACTATCAACGTTACAAACACGTTTTAACTTTTAGAGCCTAAAATCAGGTACTGTTATCCAAAGATGATCTTTTGCTACAGAAATAGCTGGTTTGTTGTTAGAGATAGTGGGTGTCATTAAATCTATAAAATGGAATAAAAAATCCATAAGATTTAAGGAGTTACTTAGACATCTTAGACCTACTATCAGAATATCAGAAAACTCAACACAGTTATGTGACAAAGGCTTTGAGATGGTCACTCCAGATGTTCCACACACTGAGCCTCAGCCTTCTTGCTGCAGTACATGTACAAGACAAGAAAAATGTCATAAACGGCTTTGTAAGATTGTATCAGTACCATAGACAATTAAGAGAAATTTCATAGATAAAACTAGAAGTCTTTTTATACAGCCAGAAGTATAATATTATGAAATCGAACTAGTTATCAGCAATCTATATTGTCAGCATGGAATTTAGGACCTCTCTTACTCATTTCTGTGTCCCCCATAGTACCAAACACAGTGCCTGCCAAAATAGATTAAGTGTTTATTGTATTCGCTATTTAGAGCTAAAAAGATATTTGCAAACTTAATGGAAGTAAAAGGAAAAATTGAAAAAGGTACAGCTGCTTTGGGGGATGTGAGATCATGAATGCGTATGTTATAGATTTTACATTAATGATTTACTTTCCAATTATTTCTTCTACATTGTCATATTTAGTGGCTAACCATTATTACCTCTTAGGTTGTTGTGAGAATTGAATTAATGTGAAGTATTTGACATATACTAAGGACTTATATGTTAATTGTTGTCATCATGGATTTACTGCCATGAGCTCTACATTTCCCCATTTCATGAATGTGAGAATATTAACATAGATAGAGTTGATAATGATTATTTGACATTGCACGTTTTTAGCAAGAAGAAATCTTTCCCTTTTGGCCAGTTTCAGGCTCTGTCACTCAAAAAAAATAAATAAATAAAGAGAGATGCCTTATGTTAAGGCCTTCCTGAAAAGAAAGCTAAGTATTAATTTCTTAGGATTGCTTCTGAGGTAGAATGAGGTGTTTGCATAGACCCAACAAGTCATTCAAATGGTTGGGTTTTTTTTTTTTTTTTGGTCTTACTATGATAAAGAACATTTTATTTCCCTTTTATAGCAGCCTGTACTGAAATTAACTAGTTGAATAAAATCACCTCTTCTAGCAGAAATAAAGCTAAGTTTGGGGAGTTGGGTGAAAATATAGTACTATTGTTTACTTTCTAAGATCCAAGGGAGAGAATCAAGCTTGGTAGTAGTCTCTTGAATATATTTATCTATTGAAAAGGTATGATTTTCTATATTTCCTTAGAAAGTATATCATGTCAATATAGATATGTACTCATTAGGTTTACCCTAATTTATATTATCAGGGAATGTTTAATTCAAATTAAGGACATTAAACACACATGGACTTTCATATATCCAGTTTTATAAATTACATTGATCACTTGAGAATGCAGAGATTTCAAAGTAAAGAAAACACATTTTATGAATATTTTAAAACATTAAAACACATTCCCTTAGCATATTTGTGGGTAAATTTAAATATTAATACTAAAAAGAAAGTAGTATACAGAATTTACGTTTCATAATAACGAGGAAAGTGGTAATGCCAAGTAACTTAAAAGATGAAATATGGCATTTAGATCAAGAGGTTCAAGTTTTCTTAATGAAAAAAATAACTATTTATGGGATAAAAATATTCCAATGATTTGTGTTTGCCTCATACCTCAAAAATGTTACTTCATTTATTATTTAAAGTTATATTGAAACTGATATTTTCACTGTTGCCAGAGCAGTACTAGGACAGTAGTTAGGTATCTACAGTCTTATGTTCCTTAGAGTTATAGCACTGTGCCTCTGAAAGGGATTTTTTAATATTTTAGTAAACCTGGCCTAAACTGTCTTATTTGTAAGTTGACGAAACTGATTGTCCAGTACTTTAACTTGTCCAATTTCATAAAACTCTGTACTAACTTGAGCACATCTGGTGTTAGATCTCAGTATCAGGTGTCCCAGTGTGTTCTGCTCATCATTCCACAATTATGATATTGATAAAACTTTCACACTAACTTTTGAACTGTGGTTATTATTAATTTAGTTGATTTTTGTCTTCTTATTTATTTTCTTATTCTTCTACTGCCTTCTTTATAACTGTCCACCAGATCAAAGCTTTTTGGGTACCTACACTATCATTTAAAGTGTAGGGAAATAATGAAGTTTCTTAAATCCTATGTCATGGACTACGATACAATAAAGAAAAGGGATTTCACAAAATAGGGGGAATTACATATTAACATGTCATAATCATTCTCAAGAATAAAATAGCAAAAGAAACTTAGATTTCCCTAATTTAATCTTGACTCCAATTTCAATAGTGCTGTAGAAAAAGATATTTAAACCCATATGCCTCCTTTTACAAAAAACAAAGATACCAACTTTCCTGGTTTCTGTTTACAGTTGCTAATAGAATAATAAATTGCTGTGAAAATGTTAAACTGTAGCGTCTCGATGAGTTATTTTTACTTTAAAATTGTATGTGATTCTGCCATTTTGAATGTGTATATTACATGTAATTGTATAATGTTAACTTGGATAGGCAAAATTCTTGATATTGAATTTAGAATGTTTTAAGAATTATTAAAAAGATATATTTAGCATCTGCTTTTTGATAGCATGTTTTCATATAATGCTTAATGTATCAACGTCAACCATTCAAGATTTATTTTATTGGATGATACTATTTATAGACTGTGTTCTGAAATGGCCACAGTGTTAGGAAATGTGATGTGAGTTTTATTTGTGGACTAAGGACGAAAGGATCATATTATGCTAATATACCTTTTATTATAAATGACTAAAAATTTGCATATATAACTGAGGTTTTACTATACAAATTACAGAGATAGATAATATAATTATATCATTATTAAATAATTAGAAAATGCAAATAAGCAAAAGTCACCCATGTTCCCAGTTCTCATCTCCCAAAGATAATTATAAGTAGCATATTATTTTGTATTCTTCCCATTAATTAGTTTCTAGTGTACTTTCCCCTGTAGCTGAAATTAAGCTGAGGAGAAAGGAACAGTTCCTCCCTCCTTTTTCTCTCTTCCACTCTGTCTCCTGTACTAACTGTGTATATATACAAATATGTATGCATATATATATATATAATGTACATAATATATAAAGTGCAAACACTAATGTGCATATTTTCAAAAATACACGTATTTTTTATTTGAAATAAAAATGAGATCAGACTACATATTTGGTGACCAGATTTTTTCACTCAGTGATATATCATGAACATATTTCCGTGCTAATATAATTTTCTAATAATTTCAGATGCTGTAACTACCGTTCAATTCTTATTGGAAAATTTGTTGCTTTATAAATGGTAAATCATATGGTAAACAATATGATCATTATTGTTGTAGCCAATATCATTATTAAAAATGATGGACCTTATTAAAGCCATAGAAGAATTTATATATGTAAGGAGTTATTCAGACATCTTGTATCTAGTATTACAATGTCAGAAAACTCAGCAGGTTATATAACATGTAGACTTTGAGATAGTTGCTCAGAAGTTTTCACATACAGGATTAACCTTGCTGCAGTGCTTGTGCAAGGTTAAAAAAATGTCATGGGGGGGCCGGGGTTGCTCACACCTGTAACCCCAGCACTTTGGGAGGCCGAGGCGGGTGGATCACGAGATCAAGAGATTGAGACCATCCTGGTCAACATGGTGAAACCCCGTCTCTACTGAAAATACAAAACATTAGCTGGGCATGGTGGCATGTGCCTGTAATCCCAGCTACTCAGGAGGCTGAGGGAGGAGAATTGCCTGAACCCAGGAGGCGGAGGTTGCGGTGAGCCGAGACCGTGCCGTTGCACTCCAGCCTGGGTAACGGGAGCCAAACTCCATCTCAAAAAAAAAAAAAAGTCATGGGTCCCTTTATAAGGTCATATTATTACTGTAGATAAATAAAGGAAAATTTGTAAATAAAACTAGAAGCCTTTTGATATTTCCAGAACTGTAAGACATAGAATGTGAGTTGTTTAATTGGTGTAGAATTTCAGTTTTTGCAGGATGAAAAGAGTTCTGGAGATCACTTGCATGTCAGTAAGAATGTACGTAACACTACTGAACCCTACACTTAAAAATGGTTATGATGGTAAATTTTATATATATTTGGCCACAATTTTCAAAACCACAGAGCAATAATAATAATTCTTGCTTACATGAGACAGATATAGAGAAGGCTTCTCTCTGATTATAGAATCTTTTGTTTGGTCTGACTGGACCAACTTGCTCATCTCAGATGAGTCATCATAATTCAATTATAGTTGCTAGGAGAAAATCAGATGCTGAAGGGCTTAAACCTGGATTGAACTGCTGAATAAGAAGGCAACAATTCAACTTAACTTCCTAGTAACTCTTCATTTCAGATTTTGTTCTTGAATAGTCTCACTCACTTTATTTTTGACATAAGCTTAGGGATCTTGTTAAGCTTTTAAAACCAAATTGTACTGCAATTTCTGGTAGACTTGTAGTAACCATATGCAACAATGAAATCCATTTATTTGAAGTAGATATGACAAAACTAATCCCCTGCTAGAGGTTAATAGATGTTCTGTTATATTTTTGTGCGCAGGGCCATATAACTTTAAAAAATAACTCCATGGTGTTCATGGATCCCCTTTTGAAGAAAGTCTACTGAGATTCCTACCCATCCCACACACACACTCGGTGTAACTTACTCTCTTCTCTACACTGTTTCCCTACACAAAATAACTGTTATTGAAAGCCTCATCTTTTAAAGTCTATACATCTATTTTCCAACTTAAATGAGAGCTTTATGAGGGCAGGAATTATATTTTACACATTTTGACATTTCTAGTTTATCACTTGGTTCTGGATAGTCTTTGGCTGATAGAGTAGTAAGTTAAAATATAAAACTAGTGCATGAATGTTTGCAATGTATGTATATTATGTATATGAACAAGGACTATTGAAAAAATTTGAGAAATTTTAAGTATTAAAATGGAATTTAAAATTATGAGTATTATAATACACAAAAAGTTTGATATTTTACTGTAAATATTACATTATTTTTTCAGTTCCAACAAAAAATCTTTTGAATGAAAAACTGTGTATGTGCATATCATTGCATTAAGTTGGGAAAGAAAATAAGGTCACATATATTCTAATACTTACAATTAAGTAGATTGAGCCCTATCCAGAGCACTATTATTTTTTTTCTTTCTTGGTGTCCTTCCTGTAGTAATATTTTTAAATAAAAAAGGTAAAAGAAGCAAGCCAAGGGGGTTCCAGATAGAATTATCTTTTGAAAATAGCTGTAATTTGGATATACCCAAGTGTGGATGCTGAAGTCAAAGTCTACAGTGATGCTTCAACCCTAGGGAATGTACAATCCTAGTGAATGTATAACCACGCAATCCAGCGTGGTTGCTTGTGGCTCTTTTTTAAAATTATTACTTTAGGGGATCTTCCCACACCCTGAGCTATTATTTTTAAAACATGAATTTGCTT